ATGAAATTTCAAAGATGTTTTGAGAGGGAGTAAAAAGCTCAAAACAAATTTACCACAGAAATTGATGGCAACAATATGTTTGCGACAGTCGAGCAAAGAACCATATTTCAAATGTAAATACCTTTCCATTTTTTTTCCTACCTACCCTTTTTCGTCTCTGACAAAATTTACGAAAACAGGCTGTGTGTGTTCTGCTGCCGTAATATTTTTTGTTCGGTTTTTGGTACTCACATTTTTTGCTGTATTTAAAATGCTTTTACCTGTCTTCCTCTTTCCCGATTTCGCAAAAGTAAAGCATTTTCTTTTACGAAGTTCATAAATTGAAATGATTTCTATTTTCTTCTCTTTCCCCCTCCCTTTCTCCCTCCCTCGTCCTCCCCTATCCCGTATAGAATAACTTTTCCATAATTTTGAGACAGATTTGCTGGCTACTGTATTCAGATGATATCTCCCAAAATATAATTTTATATAAGCTTAAACCTTCTCAGTATTCGCTCTCTTTGAAAGGAGGAGAAAGCCGTTCGAGTAGTCCGAATGGTAGCAATTGTCAACACCAGCCATCTGTTGGCGATAATATCCGATGGTTCTTTCTTTCGAGGGTTACTGTGTGCCTGGCATATAGCAGTAGAACCAATTCACTATCGAAACATTTAGAAGAATTTTAGACAAATAAGGTATGGAACTCTCAGTTTAAACCCAAATTTGAAAAGGAGAAAAAAGGGAATAGTGGGCTTTAGTCTAAATTTTAAACTAAAAAATATGGCGCCAAAGATAAAATAAACACATTTTCATCCACAATTTTCAACAAATTGGCAGAATTCGGGTTACCAGGGAAAGCGGTTTTGGTCGGTCAGGAAAGGGATTAAAAGGACTTTTTCTGAGCTTTTGGAATTTGAGCTCAATTTCCTCACTTTTGAAGTACTGATTTCCCACTACCATGACCTCAATGAGTCGTTACTGTCAGTAGGACCACGAGAATATATGTATAATAATATTTCGAGACTTACCGATATAAATCATGTAAAATTTACACTCTTTGTGAGACGGAAGCATTCGAAAGTAACTCGAGTCGTAGCACGTGTCAACAATCTTTCATTGGCAACATTTCTGAAAGCAGCTTAGAAAAAAGCTGACTCTCTGACAACCCCTAGTACCAAAACACAGCTAAAACAAATGAATAAATTGAAAGGGATTAAATATATAATTGCAAACATTCCATTTCAAGATCTTCTAAGGGTGAGGTAGCAACATTCACAACAATTTCTTAAAATTTCTTAAACTTCAACTCCTTTTAGCTTATACCCAAACAAGACAGGGGCCAAAGCGTCGACCTCATTTCGAATTTTAGCCCAAAATCATCGTAATAGGCACTTTACACCC